ACATGAGTATGACATGCAAGTAGACTATAACAGTCTAAGTTGACAACCACAGAGTTGGTTTGGGCAATTATTAGGGGTAGGCTGGAACAGTCTGAGTTCTTGCAGTTGAAGACCACAAGGTGGACAGCACACTAGGCACACTGGTGAAGTTTGTAACATCCACGACTGGGGACCATGGATAATCTGCTGCTCAGGATATTGGGCTCTACTCATGAATCCCAGTAAAAGCAAGTCCATAGACTCGATCCAGGGGAGGGAGTAGTCCAGCAGCCAGTCAGGAAAGCGCCAGGGCTTGTCAACCCCCTGAAGTACACGGTTCCCCTTCCTTCAGGGAAAGATAAGATCACCCCTGGTCCCCGGCTATGTACCTGCCTCCCACCCACCATCTGGACACACCTCCCCAGGGATTGGCTGGAGCATGGTTAAAGCCATTCCTGATTGTTTAAATTTAATGCGTTGAACTCTGGAAGTTTCTCAACAAAGCCAGGGGGAATCAATTAAATCCTCAGACTGTGGAGAGAGAGAGAGAGAGAAAGAAAGAGAAAGAAAGAAAGAAAAAGAAAGAAAAAAAAAGAAAGCAAAAACACTAGTCATTCAGGAAAACAAATATGGAGCTCGTAAATGAAATGTATTTTAGAGAAAAATGTGTACCACATAGAAGTCATAGGATTCCTTTTTTTTCTTTACAGCAGACCTGTGAACTTTCCTCATACCAGACCAGATGTACCAGAAGAAGAACTACTGTGTATAAATTTACATTTAACATCCTAAATCTTTGCACTAAAATCAGGCTTGCTAGACTTGATAAATGTGCCAATTAATTAACGCCTAATTGCAAGGATGAAAGCGTAAAGGGAATTCCTATTCTTAGGTAAATTCTGGTTAAAGACAGATAGTCAATAAACACAGCGTGGCTCACTCATGTACAGCAAGATCTTTGGATTACATATTAAAAAAATCTTTTGGGTCTTTGAAGTGAACACAGGTTCACTGATTTGGCATTACACTCCCTTTAGTAAATCATCCCCTAAGTGGGAGTAGTATTTGGCAGACTAATACTGTTTTCTTGTAAAGTTTTATTCCTTTCAGTGTAAACTTCAAATCATTTTTTTACACCAATTGGAATAGGTGTCTTTTAACGATGGAAAATTCTCCTGAAAAAGAAAATATATAATTATGTTATTGCAAGGAAGTGTGTCCTCATAAATATTGAAATGTATCACATTAAAGAGCATACATATAACTCAGGTCATATTTTTTCCAAGGCATTTGCTTATGAATCTTGACCTCCCTGGTAGCAGTTCCATCTGATCCCTAAATGTCACAGTGGAGTGTGTACTCCGTGATGATATATGTGCTTTCTTTGGACTAATATAGAGATATGTGATAGCCACACATGTATATTAATAAACCAAGCGTGGTGATGTTGGGTGTGCCTCTGGAAGCTTGGCAATAAAATGGGAAAATTAAGCAAAAGGAGAGAACATCAGACTACATACCATAAGCTTTAATGTTCTACTTCTTCTAAACACTACAAGCATAAAGTTAAAAAAAAACAATTTTGATCATGTTCTAATGTTGCCCCAAACTAAGATATATATTGTTATCGTAATCACTTTTCAGTTACATAAAGGTATCATACTATACTCATGGAAATAACTTCCCTATTTACTCTTTCCTAGAGCCTATTTATTCTACTATCATGTTACAATTGGTTTAGCTATTGTTAAGTCTAACTTAAAGTTACCTAAAGCTTTTATTTTTGACAAATGATGACAATCAATAACTTCATCAGACATCCTCATTTTCGTTCGCATACAGTAAGTGAAAACAAAAATGAAGTAATTCTGTCACCTTAAAAGAACATGTTTAAAGTGCTTATAGAGTTGCTTTAGGTTTAAATCAAATGGCTTAATAGTTTTTTTTGGTTCATCTAATCACAGGCAAGCAGGTTTAAAATAAAAAAAAACATTATGCGAACAGTCTGCCAATCCCATTCCTGATTGTTAGAGGTTGGATTCTCACAATAATTGTTTCCCTTCTTTTAATATTTTTATTTAAATTTCCTTCATCTGGGAAAATCCCAGGATTCCATACCAGACACATTGGATTTTAACTCTATGTAGCTGTTCTATTTTAAAAAAGCAACCAGGTGTTCAAAGCTTTAAAATCTTCTTTGTTGTATGCTCAATAGGAGTAAGGATCCAACACAGAGAATTTTGATGTGTTTCAGCCCTTATGAGCGTTAGTCATATAGCTGTTCTATTGCATCTTTCATACTGGCCTTCATTCATACTGTGGTGTTAAGTGAACGCTCAGTCAAAATGAAAGCAAAGAATATCATATTCAGAGCTTTACAAAACTCCCTTTATTATATGGAAAGAAGAGTCATCTCTTGCAGTTTCCTAAATTAAGTTTGCTAAGGTTTAGATGGCAGTAATGCATTTCCGGACGAAGTGAGCTCACATTTAAAATGTGCAGTAGTTGCACTACACAATACCAGCTTGTGTTATGTTCAGCCCATGGAACTCTGCTTGTCCGAGATTGCGGATGCTGATCTGATCATAACACAAGCTGGTACTGTGTAGTGCAACAAGTGCACGTTTTAAATGTTAGTTCACTTCATCTGTTTGCTTTGGTGTGATTTAATAAAAGCGGTATTACACTATGTGGTTTCTGCTTCACTTAATATCTAAGGCTGTGTGAGATGCAGTTCTTGGAAAGAAATGCCTTCCATTTGCTAATTCAGAATTATATAAAGGAGAAAGCATTGTATGGGCTACTGATAATCTGGTGATCAATGCTTTTGGTGGGTTTTATTCCTGGTGGTGGAGGGTAGCACTGGTAATGCGCTGGATGCACCTTGGATGCATAATTCAGGATTTTCAATTACTTCAAAATGTATCAATTTCAGCTGAGCAGTGGGACCATTTATATTCACCAAGTTATTACATTATGGACTGGTTTGGATTTTTTTTAAGATTAAGATTGTATATTTATGTATGCTGTTTTATGTATTGGTTTTATGTTTTCTTGTTAATAAACACTATAGTTGGCTGTATCAAAAATGTGGGACCTGGTAAGTTCCATAAAATCCCCCACCACTATTTTCTGCACATGCTTCAGTGGTGTTGGAAAAGTCCATGAACACTGGGATGATGTTTTGAGAATTTTTTAAAGACTCATTCTTCAAATATCCATGCAATAATTGTTAAGGAAAAACACCAGCTCATATACGGGCATTGGTATCTCCTATTAAAAAATGTGTGTGGTGTCCGTATGTATTTTCTAAGCAATAAAAATAAAGACTTGACCGATCATGTTTAGTGAACTGGCCGATATTTACAGATGTCCACTAGAAATCAATCTGGACAGGGTTTGATTTACCTTGGACTTGAAAATGTATCTTTATGTAAAATATAAATTAAATTTAAATTAATTTCCATGCTAGACAGAAAATAGTAGCATTGACTTTACTGAAATCACTATGCTGATAATTTTCAATATTCATTTTCCATGGGAACTAACCCAGGTAAACTAATAAATTCAGAGATCGCCTAAAAGTGAGCAGAGTAGGCGATAGTCTGATAAATTGGGGTAGAGAGTTCCAGAGGATGGGGGAAGCTCTGGAAAAGTCCTGGAGATGAGCATGAGAGGAGGAGACAAGGAAGCTAGAGAGCAGGAGATCTTGCAAGGAGCAGAGAGTGTGGTTTGGGTGATATTTTGAGACAAGATCGTTGATGTAATTTGGGGTAGAGTTATAAATGGCTTTATATGTTATTGTTAATGTTTTGAATTATATCCGTTGGGTAATGGGAAGCCAGTGGAGGGATTGGCAGAGAGAGGTTAGTAAGGTGGATAAGTCTGGCAGCAGCATTCATGATAGACTGAAGAGGGGATAGCCTGCGATTAGGTAGGCCAATGAGGAGGGAGTTGCAATAGTCAAGGCGAGATATAACAAGGGAGTGAATAAGTTGCTTAGTGGTTTCTGAGGTTAGGAACGGGCGTATCTTGGAGATGTTGCAGAGGTGAAGTCTACAAGATTTGGACATTGATTGGATTTGGGGGTGAAAGAACAGATGGGAGTCTAGGATTACACCTAGTACCCTGGCATGAGGGGAGGGACTGATGATTGTGTTTTTGATCTTGATGGAGAAGTCAGGGGAGGGGGCATGGGCTGGGGGAAATACTAAGAGCTCAGTTTTGGAAAGATTGAGTTTGAGGAAGTGAAGTGACATCCATGCCGATATGTCGCTTAGTAGGTTAGTAATGCCAGAGGAGACTGAAGGGGTGAGATGAGGGGTAGAAAGATAGATTTGTGTGTCATCAGCATAGAGATGGTACTTAAAGCCATTGAGTTTATCAAGTGACCAAGGGAGGAGGTGTAGATGGAGAAGAGAAGGGGTCCAAGGACAGAACCTTGAGGGACCCCTACAGAAAGAGGGAGTGAAGAGGAGGAGGCAGCGTTATAGGTAACACTGAGGAGCGCTGCGATAGGTAGGAGGAGAACCAGGAGAGAGCAGAGTCTCTGAGACCAAGAGAGTGGAGGAGGGGATGGTCAAGCATATCAAAAGCCGCAGAGAGGTCAAGTAGTAAGAGTACGGAGTAGTGGCCATTTATTTTAGCTGTTAGGAGATCATTAGTGAGTTTTAGTAGGGCAGTTTCAGTGGAGTGTAGTGAGTGAAAGCCAGACTGTAAAGGGTCAAGAAGGTTGTTGTCGGTGAGGTGGGAGCTCAGGCGATTGTAGACTAAGCGTTCTAGGAGCTTAGAGGTAAAGGATAGCAGGGAGATGGGTCTTAAGTTGTTCAGGTTGGTGGGGTCCAGGGAGGACTTTTTAAGGGCTTTTTGATCTTTTATTGATGGCATCTAGAGATGAGCGAATTATTCAAAAATTCGATTCGGCTGATTCGGCGAATTCCCGGAATAAATTTGATTCGAGTCAAATATATTCGCTGCGAATTTAACTTATAAAAAGGGTGTTTCTAGGCTTCAGAGAGCCTTTATATTAGTGCAGAACACTGTACCTTTAATTTAAATGCCCTTGGAGTCTGCTGGGGAAGAGAAATAATACTGTCAGTCAGTATGACATGCAGATGAGTGCCGTCGATCTTAGAATCACCGCACACTTCACTCATTTGGGCAGTCACGGGGCCAAAACCAGAGTGTGGAGCCACAGTGTGGCGGTGGAGGCAGCAGCAATGGGAGGCCATACAGCACCCTATGAAAAAATGGAACCCACCAGCAGTGTGAGGAGACCTGAAAGTGGCACATGGCAGAGTGTGGCGATGGAGACAGCAGCAATGGGAGGCCGTACAGGGACCCATGACACACTCTGGACCTGGCAGCAGCATGAGGAGGCAGTACAGGGGCCCATGACAGATTACGGGCCTGGCAGCAGCATGAGGAGTCGGTACGGGGGCCCATGGCAGATTACGGGCCTGGCAGCAGCAATGGGAGGCCATACAGCACCCTATGACAAAATGGAACCCACCAGCAGTGTGAGGAGACCTGAAAGTGGCACATGGCAGAGTGTGGCGATGGAGACAGCAGCAATGGGAGGCCGTACAGGGACCCATGACACACTCTGGACCTGGCAGCAGCATGAGGAGGCGGTACAGGGGCCCATGACAGATTACGGGCCTGGCAGCACCATGAGGAGTCGGTACGGGGGCCCATGGCAGATTACGGGCCTGGCAGCAGCAATGGGAGGCCATACAGCACCCTATGACAAAATGGAACCCACCAGCAGTGTGAGGAGACCTGAAAGTGGCACATGGCAGAGTGTCGCGATGGAGACAGCAGCAATGGGAGGCCGTACAGGGACCCATGACACACTCTGGACCTGGCAGCAGCATGAGGAGGCGGTACAGGGGCCCATGACAGATTACGGGCCTGGCAGCAGCATGAGGAGTCGCTACGGGGGCCCATGGCAGATTACGGGCCTGGCAGCAGCAATGGGAGGCCGTACAGGGACCCATGACACACTGGACCTGGCAGCAGCATGAGGAGGCGGTACAGGGGCCCATGACAGATTACGGGCCTGGCAGCAGCATGAGGAGTCGGTACGGGGGCCCATGGCAGATTACGGGCCTGGCAGTGACGACGAGGCTGCCAAGTGCGATCAGCCTCATCATCATCAATTAGGGTCTCCGCCTCACTACTAGCCCCCCTCGGCTGCGTGTGGGTCAGGAGACAGACCTGTCTCTAGACCGGCTACCGAGCCACTCTCCTCGCCAGTACTTCTTCGCCTGGCTGCTGAAGAGGCGGATGTCTCCCCCCGTTCCTGACCGCCCTCTGTTAGCTCTTCCTCACTGTACAGTGGGGCTGAGCCCACAGCATGCGATACTTCGCTTGGTGAGGGAACACCAAAGGACAGGGGCAGGTAGAGGACACGTGATTTCAGTGGGCTTGCTCCCGGGCCATGCCAACTAACGGTTGTGTCTGACGTACCCACCGACCGTTGGCTGTAGGTGTCAGAGGTGACCTGGGAAGAGGAAGACGACCGAGCCAACCAATCGATGATGGCAGGGTTGTCGGTGGAGACACGACCGATGGATGACACCGGGAGCACTGGCCTCTGGCTGCGACTAGTGCTGCCTCGACCCCTTCCTCTGCTGCCACGTCTGCTCGCTCCTAAAACATTGCCTCCTCTGCCACTCCTCTGCGTGTTGTCTGACATACTCTTTAATTCAACGATTCTGTGTCCCTGAGTAACGATTCTGTGTCCCTGAGTAACGATTCTGTGTCCCTCAGTAACGATTCTGTGTCCCTGAGTAACGATTCTGTGTCCCTGAGTAACGATTCTGTGTCCCTGAGTAACGATTCTGTGTCCCTGAGTAACGATTCTGTGTCCCTCAGTAACGATTCTGTGTCCCTCAGTAACGATTCTGTGTCCCTCAGTAACGATTCTGTGTCCCTCAGTAACGATTCTGTGTCCCTCAGTAACGATTCTGTGTCCCTCAGTAACGATTCTGTGTCCCTCAGTAACGATTCTGTGTCCCTCAGTAACGATTCTGTGTCCCTCAGTAACGATTCTGTGATTCTGTGATCCCTCAGTAACGATTCTCAGTAACGATTCTGTGTCCCTCAGTAACGATTCTGTGTCCCTCAGTAACGATTCTGTGTCCCTCAGTAACGATTCTGTGTCCCTGAGTAACGATTCTGTGTCTGTGTCCCTGAGTAACGATTCTGTGTCCCTGAGTAACGATTCTGTGTCTGTCCCTCAGTAACGATTCTGTGTCCCTGTAACGATTCCTCAGTAACGATTCTGTGTCCCTGAGTAACGATTCTGTGTCCCTCAGTAACGATTCTGTGTCCCTCAGTAACGATTCTGTGTCCCGATTCTGTGTCCCTCAGTAACGATTCTGTGTCCCTCAGTAACGATTCTGTGTCCCTCAGTAACGATTCTGTGTCCCTGAGTAACGATTCTGTGTCCCTGAGTAACGATTCTGTGTCCCTGAGTAACGATTCTGTGTCCCTGAGTAACTGTGTCTGTCCCTGAGTAACGATTCTGTGTCTGTCCCTGAGTAACGATTCTGTGTCCCTGAGTAACGATTCTGTGTCTGTCCCTGAGTAACGATTCTGTGTCCCTCAGTAACAATTCTGTGTCCCTCAGTAACAATTCTGTGTCTGTCCCTGAGTAACGAATCTGTGTCCCTGAGTAACAATTCTGTGTCCCTGAGTAACAATTCTGTGTCCCTGAGTAACAATTCTGTGTCCCTGAGTAACCTGTGTCCCTGAGTAACAATATTCTGTGTCCCTAAGTAACGATTCTGTGTCCCTAAGTAACGATTCTGTGGCCCTAAAGTCTCTCTGGCCCTAACTCTGTCCCTAATACAGACAGGTCTGTCTCTCTTGAATGACCGGAGGCTAATGGAGAATTGTAAGATGGCCGCAATTTATAGCTCCACCATTACACAGTGCTGGCTGCTGATTGGCTAATGCGATCACATGTCATGAATGAATGCATTATGGGTCAGCGCGCCTTGTCTGCGCGCCTTCCCAGAGATCCCCGCTCCGTCGCCACACATGTCGCCGCCATTTTTGGGAAAATTCGATTCGTGCATCCGAAGTTTGCTAATTTTCGGATTCGGTGCGAATCGAATTTTTCCTGATCTTCGAAACGAATTCCACTTCGCCATGTTCGATTCGCTCATCTCTAATGGCATCTACTTTCCAAGTTCTGAACTGCATGCTGTAGACAATTACATCACAATCAGGCTGCTCAGCTTCACTGCCTGGAAATTAGTATGTGACAGAGGTGTCAGAGAGTTCAGATTCAGTATGGAAGCCATTTCTCCCACAAATACAGTACATCCTTTTGTAAAAAATATTATCCAATGAATGGATCATTTAAGTAATGTTGTATTTGTAAAGTGTATATGACCCCCCCCCCCCCCCCAAAAAAATATAATATTTTGCAGCTTACCAATCCTTTGATGTGGTGCCTGCATTGTTTTCCTGTTTTCAGGCTAAGAACTTTTTACGTATAAAAATAAAAATACAGAAATACAGTGTCCTTGTCACTTCCCATGAGATATAAAGACAGCATAAACAATAATATCTCTCTTTTGTAAGCTGCTAGTCCCATCAACCAACCATGTACTGAAGATCAACAAAGGCAGACATGCTTGAAGTTCAGCCTGCGTAACAACCATGGTTGCCCCCCATAGATACAACTGAAGTGAGAGTGTAGCCAAATAGGCACAGGAAGTGTGTCAGAATGGGGATCAGAACCCACAATCCTGCTGCATCCAGCAATAGCTATTCTTGCTGGACAGCACCCTGTCTGATACTTTGGAAATCCTTCTTTGTTCCTTGTTTCTGGTGAACCTTGAACTCTTTGCTTCTCCTATTAACTTCCTATTTAAGCCATGCCTTTGCACTTTCTGTTTGGAAGATTATTGTGCTCTTCTCTAGCCAATATCTTGCTCGTCTCTCCTGCTGCCAATCGTATCTTCACTATCATTAGTTACCGACCACTGGCTTGTTCCTTTACTATGCTTCAGCTTGACCTCAACCTGCAACCACGTGTTACTGAGCTTTGGCTTGTTTACTGATTATACTTCTGCTGGATCCCTACCTGTTATATCTGCTATTGGACCCTGGCTTGCTTGCCTCCTGGTGGGAAGATCCTGAGGACTGTGACCTGGTACTAACATGCAGCAAAGCCCATCTCCACTATCGGGAGCTCTGGTGAATACTGTAGCAAACTTGCTCATCAGAGTGGGACGCGGAGTTCCCCTTTTTCTTTTCTTTTTATTGGAAGTATTCCTTAGTCCTTCATTCCCTACCCCCTCCCTTCCTGAGAGGCAAACTTTATATCCTGACAGATGGGGGGGGTCAACCCAAGTTAAGGCATCCTCAGTCCAGTGCCAGGCAGTCTGCGAAAGTGTAACCTTCCTCACCTAAAGCACTCACCCATCATAAAACAGATAAGGCATCTTCTCCCTGGACTTGAAAGAAATTGAAACCTCACAGAACCTAACAGTAAAGATTACAGAAGAAATGAACATTCCTCAATCAGGTTTTTTCCCCTATGTTTCATGTCATGAATTATGACAGATGTTGGTTCTAATTCAGAGTTCTCCTGACCCCTCACAAAACAGCGTAATGGCCAGTATTCAGAGCCACCCCCCCTTGCAGAGGGATTTTTAAAAAAAGAGACAGGTTGGCAAGCCTAGTAGAAGAAACACACATCTCCTAAGCTTAACATCGAACAAGGAGATCAAAGAACCATCCTGCTCTGCAACTGGATCTGCTACCAAGGCATGCTGGCAAGTAACCTAACCCTGTAACTTCCTTCCTGTTATCTCTTTGCTGTATCTAAATATATACATATATATATATATTTTCGTGACATCTCTTTGTAAATATTTCATTGCACCTGTTTGACTCTTTTAGTAATAAATCTTTCTTTCTGAAAGTGTTAAACTGTTTTTTAAGCGCTTACTTGCAATTCACGAATTCCTGCCTTTCGAAGAGACGCTACTGTGTTTGTTTAATTCTCTGCCCAATTGGCCTGCGGGGTCCGCATTGGACAGGCGACTTTTCAATCATTATAGTGTATATCTGATAACGAGAGTTTCCTTCTTCTCTGACAAAAAAGACGGTGGTGGCAGTAGAGGGTTAGTTGCGTAATTAACCTGACCCAGTAACAAGCACATTCAGGCTGCAGGCACCGATTATAGCCCATTAGCTGGACAATCGCTGTGCAGGGTGCAGCTGGGTGGGGCCTTGTTACGCGCGTCACCGTGGTTTTAGATCAGCTGGTCCTTCGGTCACGAGTTTGGTGAGAAGGTCTGGGGTCTGACACCACGGGCGTGACGTATTACTGTTAGTCACGGTCGTGCGATTGTCGCATGTTGGTGGCGGCGACCGTGCGATTGTGACAAATACTAGTTAGTGCTTAGACCTCTCCATCTTTGGTAAGCCTGCATCATCTACCAAGGTGGCCAACTCTTCGGTGGGAGCCTCTCTACTGCTATAGCTACTGGTCTCCGGTCCTGATCATGGCAAAGTTTGTTATTCACAGGGTTACCGTTTGAAAAAAAAGGATAAATGCATGAAAAAGAGGAAAAAAACTAATATGGCCACCATATCTATGGACTGGTAAGCTGCAATATG